TCACTGCAATCTTTGTTGTAGATTTTTGAGAAACCAGTTGTTTAAGCAAACTTCCTAAGATTTTGATCAAATGACTTTCTTTGTATGGCGACGAATTTTTGAAAGAAATTGCAGAAATTGTTGTTTTCGGATTTGATGTTTTATGTAAGATCTAGAAGATTTTCCTACAAACCTCATCTTTTGTTATTCAACGATTGAAGTTGCTTCACTGTTTGTTTTATTTTCATTCAACAAAAGTGTTATCTAGATGTCAATTTAAAAATCAACAGTCATAACTCAGTTTTTTCAATCTCTTTAGAAATATAGCAATTAAAATTTTGTTTAAAAAAAATTTGGTTCTAAAAAACCATGAAAAGAATCAACAATTTTCAAAAAAGTAAAAATAGCTCGGAATTAAGTGATGCTACCATAAATGTTCATAGCAACCCAATCAATTTAGACAAAATTTAACAACCGGAAACCGGTACTTGGAGATACTTTTTCTCTAGGACTTAAGTTTGATGACCATAACATTAAAAATTTTATGATAGTAGGTCTGGATGTTTGAAAATAAAAAAAAACTTCTTATCAATTATTTTCCACTAAAGTGGTTTATTTCAAAATCAAGAACCGTTGTTTGACTGCATTATTTTTGAATTAAAATTACTAAGTTTGGAGTTTTATAATCAGAATGTACATCACAAACATCTCAATTATCGAAAACCTCTCATCGAATTAGCATTCTAACTGCTAACACAAGAAACTGGTTGTAAATTCTTAAGAGGTCGTCTAGGTAGTTTTTGAACTGTTCCTGTACATTTTTTGTTCGAGGGGTTACCAGAATCCTGGTCAGCAAACTGTTTTTGTTCTGTCTTTGATTTGTGCTTTAAGTACATTTTTAGTACCGGATACAGAGTATCCTGGTACACTTGAAATATCTACTTTCTACTTCTTAGCAGTTTTTGTTCAACTACCATAACTTTTATCAGATACCGGATATCCTGGTTTCTTGCTGAAGCTCAACATGTCCTTGGTACTTTAAATCAAAAGTGGCAATTTATTTTTCGTACTTACTTTCCATACTTCCCATGACACAAAGTTTTCAAATTGATTTTCATGACGTCGATGATTTTGAGTATGCGACACAAAAAACGCAACAACATACTTTAGCTTTGCAATGTTTGTTGATAAAAATTGTCACGCCAATTTTTAGTATCTATTATGTTTCTTGAAGGCTGTAGCGAGGGACAACTGAAAATTAGATGTTAGAATGTTTCTCATTTTAAATTACAAAGAAAACATTCGGGCGCATTCTCAAAAACTAAAAACCTTTTACCTTTTTTCGCGATCTTTGAAGCAGCGTATAAAAATTTATAAAAAACGTTTTTTTTTCCCACAAATCAAGCCTTGATTTTTTCCAAACATTGCCTGTAAAATCACTTAACTCTTCTTCTGAACAGAGATAATGGTATGCAGCAAATTGCAAAAGGGAACTTTAAATGTATTTTCATTACCCGATACAGAAAAATTTGAGTTGTAGGCATGTTAAGCCTACCGCCTCAATTGGGTGACAAAAAAAACTTTTTTCGTTATATCGATTCTGCTTTATATATTTTTCAATTCTGCTATTAATAATTCTTAACAGTTACTAACGGTTTCCAAGATAACTGTAGTATGACCAGCCATTAACAAAAAAAATTAGACAGAACATAGACTGGCAGTGTTAATGACTTGGCCCTCAAATAATTACAAAGTGAGATTAAACCTCGATGTTTTTGAAATTGAGAACTCAACAATAGATCAATAACTTTGACTTTTTGAGAAGTGTAAAACAAGTTACCACATATTTTTCTTTCCTTGACGGTTTTATAGGGTGATAAATCAGGTATAGAAAGCACTTCACTTTAACTCATGGTAATCATCATTTGAGTCTGTTTGCAAAAATTTTCGATTAAGCAAAACAACTGGTCAATACATCGGATTTTGGTAAGGCAAATTATGTCGTCTTCATATGAAACTAGTTTGGGACACAATTAACCGAAACGTTCAATTGCTTCTGTAAATTCAATTGTTTGAAGACGGGTTCGATAAAAACTATGAACTAAAAAAGGAAATAGGGCGACCTTGTCTCGCATCGCGATGAAATTTGAAGCTGCTTGACAAAAATTTAATTTATTTCAGTTTTTGAGTCTAAATACAAAGTTTCAATAGCTCTAACGGAAAACTCGTCCAGATTAAACTCTTTAAAAAAATTTGATGAGAGGTTATGTGCCAATTTTGTCAAAATCCATTTTACTGCACATGAATCCCGGTTAGCTTATCGTTATGGAGTAATAACTTTTTTCACTTTTCGTTTTGATGCGTGCATTTGTCTTCCAGGCAAGTACGCATGCTGATGGTTTTTTACATTTTGCAAATGTCTTTTTCAATTTTATTCCAAATTTTAAGGGCAAAAATTTTCACGTTGGTATTTCAAGGAGTAATCGGGCAAAAATCTTGTACTGCTCTGGCATTTTCAGATTTCGGGAGCAAATTGGTTTTTGCTAAATAAAAAAACTTGAACTAATACTGAACATAATTAATAGTGAAATTCTTGTGCAGCCGAGATGTAACGCCTAGTGGTTCAGGCGAGCTCTTCAAATTCAATTTACTTGTAGCCCAGTGAATTTCATCTTCATCTTGAAAAATATTTGAAAAAATTTCTAAAAATTACTATCGAAATTCATTAAGATTATCCTCATCCGTGTGATAAACATTCTGATCCACTTGAGTTTGCTTAATTGAGTTAATTGTGTTCTTTGAGGTCCTGTGACCCTTTGAAGATGTTCCAGCATCAATTGATTTTTTTCAACTAAACTCGGACTCGGAACTTTCCCGCTGTGAATGCAATCTCTGAGAATATTTTATTTGATACTTCAAATTTTTGAGTTCTTTCTGATAATTCTTTCAGGCGAATCAACTTCAGAAAGTCGCAAAAATTTTGCTTAAAATTTTCGTAAAATTTTATGATCCATTTTCAAAAAAAAATTGATAATTTTTACGAGTTAAACTGGCGTTGTTTGTTAAAATTTTGTCATTTAGTTTCCAGTAGATAAGGCCGCGCTAATACAATTTGATGGCTTTACAAAAACGTGGAATAGCAAATGATCAGATTTTGATGTTTGAGTGCTTTGCGTAGAGTCATACTCAGTTTCAAAATTCATAAAAACATAATCAAAGCTCACAAAGGTGTTATGTTGTTTGTCATAATAAGAATAATCCCAAAAATCAATCTTGAGTGCGAAATCTACAGAGCCAAATCAATCAAGAATTTGTTCTTTGACTTTGGTAAATCGTTTTAAGCGTGTATCGTTTAACTTGAGTATTGGAGAACTGTTCAATTTGTCGCATCTGAGTGCATTTAAATTTCCGGTCACGATAGTTTTTGATTGATTGGATGCTTAATTTCAGGAAATTCAAAGTTGTGTGGAAGGAAATTTGATGCTTAATTTCAGGAAATTCAAAGTTGTGTGGAAGGAAATCGGGTTTGCATAAAAGTTGATAACAAAACAATCAAGTTTGACAAAGTTCAACATTTGAAAGCATGTACTTGAAGCAATTGTTCTTGCAGGATCAAAAAGTTGATGACCATATTGTTTTAAAACCTTCGAAAATATTTGAACCCGATTTGAATTCAAATAAAACCTTGGAATTATCCAGTAAATTCAGATGTATATTTGAGGATTTGATATTTTTGCTTCTTGAATGCACAAAATGAAATTGGAAAATTTTTTCGATACTTGACATTTTTCGATAAGTGAGTGTAATCTTTGAAGAGTAAAAATGACAATCTACGATCTGATTGTTGAGAACCTCATCTTTTGTTATTCAACGAATGAAGTTGCTTCACTGTTTGTTTTAGTTTCATTCAACAAAAGTTTGGATGGTTATATTCCGACCTACTTTCCTTCGACATTTTCGCAACCATGACAAGCTTTATCATTTGTTGTTTCGTCATCGTTTTAGTTGTCGCTGGCATTATTGGCATTTGTGTTTTTGCAGACATATTAACGGTTATATTGTTCTTCATTTTGTGTTTTAACTTCTAAAATTTGCTGCCTGTATAAATATACTGACCTAGTGTAATTACGATGCCTGTCTCACGTTGGATCATCGGACTATGAATGATGTCTTTCGGTAATGGGTTAATCGATTTTGCCTCGGCATCGTTGCATGAAAATGGACACTTTGATTTTGGCTAATTTAAGGTACATGTTCTTGGGTCTATGAGACCTTCGAATCCCATGGAAACACCGTCCTGCTAGGTAGAATGATTATTTCGCTTTTGATTATAGTTATAAATTGCTTTAACTTGGGGGAGCAATAATTGTCAGTGTATGCATATTTTTTCAGATTCTTGTTTTTGAGATTGTCATCTTTTGTTGCATTGTTATGGGGAGTTGTTTCAGTATATCGGAAGCACAAGTTCGATATGCCTGCGCCAGATTTTCGTCTGATTTGACAATTTCTTTCGTGAATGGGGCGATGATTTTGATTATTTGGATAAATTTTGTTGTTCCGTCGATTTCATTGCTGTTAGCGCATTTCTGAATCTTGTCTTCGTTTCAATCAGCACTTCATGATTACTTGGTAGCAGAGATTCCGTTAAGCCGTACTTTTTGAATTATGATTTTTCGAAAGCTGGCATTATTTAGTTATTTCGTAGTTTGTTTCTCAAAAAAACTTCTGGTACAGTTTCATTTACACAGTCAGAGTATTCTCTAGCTTCGCAGATTTAACATTGAATCTTAATTTTTTGAAAACCGTTCAAAATCCAGAATTTAGTCTAGTTTAAATCTGAATCATTATTTTTGAGCATGTTTTTTCCAGAATTTTCTAGATCTAAAGCACATAAAATTTTTCTAAAAAAGGAAATTTCGTGTTGCAAGTAGAAAGTACGTGCCTAATTCCAACTTATGACGCAACTTCGTTGTCCAAGCTTCGACGTATAGAAATTGAGTTTCAGTGTTCAGTTTTGCTTCTGTAACTTTAGTTTTAAAAAAATATTGTGCCTTTTCAGGTTTGAATTGTTGAAATCTGTAAATCTGTTTCCCGCTGATCTGCTAATTTATTACAAAACAAATCATATTTTTTAAGATGGCTAAAGCTCCAGCAGTCGGTATTGATCTTGGAACCACTTATTCCTGTGTCGGAGTTTTCCAGCATGGTAAGGTGGAGATCATCGCCAATGACATGGGAAACCGCACAACACCTTCATACGTAGCTTTCACAGACACCGAGAGGTTGATTGGAGATGCTGCCAAGAACCAGGTCGCCATGAACCCGTCCAACACCGTCTTCGACGCGAAGCGACTGATTGGTCGAAAGTTTGATGACCCAGTTGTTCAGAAGGATGCCAAGCACTGGCCCTTCACGGTTGTCGAAGAAGCCACGAAGCCTAAAATTGAAGTTGAATTTAAAGGTGAGAAAAAGACCTTCTCTCCCGAGGAAATCTCATCGATGGTTTTAACAAAAATGAAGGAAACAGCCGAGGCCTACCTTGGACTTAAGGTGACGGATGCAGTCGTAACTGTACCCGCGTATTTTAATGACTCTCAACGACAGGCCACAAAAGATGCTGGAACCATCTGTGGTTTGAATGTACTGAGAATTATTAACGAACCAACTGCGGCTGCTATTGCATACGGTCTTGACAAGAAAAAGGACGGAGACTCCGAAAAGCACGTCCTGATCTTCGATTTGGGAGGTGGAACCTTCGATGTGTCCGTTCTGGCCATTGACGATGGTATCTTTGAAGTGAAATCTACCGCGGGAGACACTCATTTGGGTGGTGAAGATTTCGACAACATCTTGGTCGACCATCTCAAACTTGAGTTCAAGAGGAAACACTCTAAAGATATCTCGACGAACAAAAGAGCAATGAGAAGGTTGAGAACTACATGCGAACGAGCCAAGAGAACTCTCTCCTCAAGCAGCGAAGCAAGCATTGAGATCGATTCACTGTTCGAGGGTATCGATTTCTACACCAAGATTACTCGAGCTAGGTTCGAGGACTTGTGCAACTCTCTTTTTAAGGATACACTGAAGCCTGTTGCTGAGGCCATCAAAGAATCCAAGGTTTCGAAGGGAGAAATCCACGAGGTTGTCTTGGTAGGAGGATCTACTCGAATTCCTAAGATCCAGAAGATGCTGCAAGAGTTCTTCGGAGGTAAAGAGCTGAACAAGAGCATCAACCCGGACGAGGCTGTTGCATACGGAGCAGCAGTCCAAGCTGCGATTCTGTCCGGAAGCAAAGACGAAGCTGTGCAGGATCTGCTGTTGCTGGATGTGGCTCCTCTTTCTCTGGGAATTGAGACTGCAGGTGGTGTTATGACATCCTTGATCAAGCGTAACACAACCATCCCATCCAAATACACTGAGAAATTCACTACCTACTCGGATAATCAGCCAGGTGTGTTGATCCAAGTGTACGAGGGTGAGCGTGCAATGACCCGAGATAATAATTTGCTCGGAAAGTTTGAATTGACTGGTATTCCGCCAGCGCCTCGTGGTGTTCCTCAAATCGAAGTCACCTTTGATATTGACGCTAACGGAATCTTGAACGTGACTGCCGCTGACTCAAGCACCGGAAAGTCTAACAAGATCACCATCACTAACGATAAAGGAAGGTTATCTCAGGAAGAAATCGAGAAGATGGTAAATGATGCTGAGAAGTTCAAGTCTCAGGATGACGCAGAGAAGGCAAGAATCACCGCGAAGAACGGACTCGAGAGCTATGTTTTCCAGGTAATTAAAGATTTGCCTGAAACTTGAGTTTTTTTAAGATCAAAATGAAATGGAAGTGAAAATTCAACTTGTTTCAAACATGTATGTGATAGCGGGAAAAGTAGCTATTTAAATCATTTTAGGCTAAGTCAACTTTGGAAGAGGAAAAGTTGAAAGACAAGTTCTCAGAAGAGGACAAAAAAGCAATTAGCGACAAGGCGGATGAAGTAATGAAGTGGCTCGATGCTAATCCGTCAGCAGAAAAAGATGAGTTCGATCATCAGCAGAAGGAGTTTGAGAAAATCTTCAATCCGATCATCTCAAAGGTTTATCAAGCTGCGGGTGGCGCACCTGGTGGAGCGCCAGGAGGCATGCCTGGTTTCCCTGGCGGATTCCCAGGAGCTGGAGCTCCGACTGGAGATGGTGGCAGTGGTGCTGGAGGCCCTACCATTGAAGAAGTCGACTAAACTAAAACTCATTTGCTTTCATTCTGAATTGAGTTTGTACCCAAGTATCCCGATTTTCAAGAACGCGAAATTCAAAGCTGAATACTTTCAAGTTTTAGATCTGAGAGAGTAAAATGACTTTGCTGTAGTAAGTTATCTATTTATACTGGACGACATCGATAAAGCATCTTAAAGATATCGCTATAAATTTCTAATAAACAAGTTACGGTTGGAAAAACTGAAATCCTGCAAACTTATTTGAAGTTTCCATCACATTTCAGCACCTAATTTGAGTCTTTTCGAGATTTGTGTTTAAATATGAAAAAAGTATGCTCGAAATGAACAAGAGGAAAACCCAGTTTACGAGTTGAAGGTATGATTATTGCGTATCCTTCAGTTGTAGTTAAATTGACCTTGAAACGCGAAGACATAAAATTTTAAGATCTAGTGTATTAAATTTTAGTCTCAGCAAATGAAGCGAGTGGAGCGTAGGCCATTTTTAACAGTTTTGCCCAGAAAGTTTGTAAAAGTAAATTTCCAAACAAGTTCTAAAATTTGCTATTAATCAGAGCAAGATATATATTTTGCTAGTTCTCCAAAAATTCACCTGAAATTTTCTAGTCAACGAAAATTTTGATGTTGCGTTTTCAATGTCGCCCAATAAAGATAAAGTGATAGTTTACATCAAAAGCAAGCGATGTAGTTCAATCTAAGCTCAGGAATTAATTTGTGCGGTACAGCTCACAGGTTTCAGCTGTGTAAATTAAGTTCAAAACTAGCTCAAACAATCCGTTCAAAAAGTTACAGCTGGTCTGCATTACTCAAGAAAGCGATAAATGACGCAGTGTTCAATCATAAATAGCGAATGAAAGTCTATTTCGGGAACTAATTGAGTTGAATAATTCGTAATGGGAATGCTTAATTTTGATGAAAGCTAATAAATTGACATTCTGTGGTGGATGATATTATATTCGTTCTCGTTTTGCACCTGAAATTTACACGAGCGTAAGTGTAGTAGTAAACCTTTTCCAACCCAAGTCGCAAATATTTGTGACACTACGTCTTTATGGGGGACAGATCGTTTAGCAGATCAACGTAATAAAGTGATGGATGATTGATTGACAGACTCAAAAAGACGCTCAGTCTGGGTCCAAGTTTACCCAATTAAGACAATTGTCTCACAATTTGTCAACAAAACTATCAATTTTAGAAACTCAGTCTAAATTAGCAGCAAAGCAAAGATTTACGCGCACAATAACACTCGTGTTGAATTGAAGCGCAGCGTAGCAAGCGGTTCGAAGCCAATGCCTTTTGAAGTTAGCTATCACGCTTTATAATTATTCTGAGTCTGCCAAAAGACCGGTCTGCTAAAATCCCTAGCACCGGCTTTATGATAGCATGTGATTTGAAATTTGATTATTAGTAAGTGAACACAGTTAACGCTTTTTTCATTCATCAAATGAACCAAAAAAAGGCAACTTGTTTCCAACAACAGTACAGAAATAAAAACTCCAACTCAAATATCTTGCAAAAAGTTCGAAACAATCCATAAATATATATTAAAACAAGCTTCCGGTTAGTGTACTCTTAAGACTTTTTTTCGAACTTAAGACGCCAATATTGGTGCCACTTTTGGGGAACCTTTACAGCTTTTTGATAGCATGTGCTTTGACATTCGAATAGTAATAATTGAACACAGTTGCATTTGTTTCACTTAATATAATAATAAAACAAAATCGATTTCAGAAATTTTCAAACTCAATAAATCTCAAAATTTTTTGAAATGGATAGTTAATACAAAATGTGGTTTTATGTTATGGATTTCTTACATGCAAAGTTTGCGTGGATATCTTCAGTTTTTAACATACCAAATTGTTACTTACAAAAATTATGTATTTGTATTTGGTTCAACATTTGCCGAACGGCATTGGCAATTTATTGGCATATATAGCTGCTTTATACGTGACTAAGATTTGTCAGTGGTTAAGCGTGCGCGTCTGAGTGGTTAGTTCGTGAGACTTGAAATATCTTGTCGCAGTAGGTTGCAGATCGAATCCTAGAGCTTGCCGAATTTTTGCTAATTCAAAGCTTTAGTTTTTACTGCAATTTCCAGAGCTGCTTTTTGTGTTCTCGCTAGTGGTTGGGACCGAATCTTCGACTCAGTTTTAAATCCGGGATTCGCTGTCTCAATAATTAAGCTGTTTCAACGTTTTGTTTTCGCATCTTTAACGCAAGAAATTTGCCCGTTTAAGCTATAAATCGTACATTACACAGGTTGCGATTTTTGGCAATTTTTCAGCTTGACTTCAGTGTTCTTGAAGTTGAATGCTGCCAGTGTTTCCCGAGGGACTGGAAATTGGTCCTCCAAATATGAATACCCAAGTGGGATGCTGTCAGGGTTACCCGAGGGACTGCAAATTGGTCCTCCAAATATGAATACCCAATTATTTGTTTACTTGGAAAAAATCCACCAAAGTTGAATTTCTCAACCCTGTAGTTGAGTGCTGTCAGGGTATCTTCCGGAGTTGGAAATCCTGACTAAAAAGGTGACTGCTACCTTTTAGTATGCGAGATATGACGTTTTTTAAGATTTTTTTTCTGTCAATTTTTATCGATCGAATTGTTAGTTTAGAGAAAAAGTTTTTATTCACCAAGGAAGATATCGACTCCTTGCGTTCAAAAATAAAAAATATATTTTGCCTCCGATCTTTTTCATAAACTTATGAGTGTCTGAAATCTGTAATTTATGCGCGCAATGATGCCGAAAGCGATTTATTTATGCGCAGCGATTATCCCGCACAACACTCGTTCCAGAATTATTTGAGGCAATCTAATCAGTCGCATTAAAAAATTGCACTCATGATATTCTCTTAAGTTTATGATTTTGATTTTTTTCCTTACCTACAACAATTTGATACCAATTAAAGGGCAGTCGGAACTTTCAGATCTTCACAATCGTTTGTTTTGTTTAGCAGAATTTCTTTCTTGTTTCTACATCTTTGTTTTTTTTTCGAAGGTTTTGAGCAGTTTTTTCTTTAAGCAAGAAGTACAATTATTAGATTTTGAATTGTTTCTTAAGTTTATCATTTCAATACATTTGTTGTTTTTAGAAAAATCTTAAGTTTTTTCCAGGTGGGGTGTGTTGTTTGTTTAATCTTACTTGTTTGGATTGTTTCAAAATGATAGAAAATTGTTTGGTAATTGTATATTGTCTCATCTGAAGAAAAAAAGCAGATTTTGTATGCTTACAAATAGTTTCATCCTGTGTGTTCTGCATAGCTAGCCAAATAAGGACGTCAGTTGGATTCAAACAGGTTTTTTTTATTTTTTCAATATTCAAAACAGTTTTCCAATATTGTTCCGGTCTGATTTTTTTTATTTTCTCTAGACAGACATTTTTTCCATGGCAAATGGTGCGTAGCTGTGCTTCGCCTCTACATTTTATTAATGCCTTGCTCATATTAAATCTTTGCTGGTCGAAAACACCAGTGCCCATTTATTGTTTAGCTGTGGAATGAAAATTACTGTTCCAGGAAGTCTGTAGTAGTTAAAACTTAGTTGAAAGATGGCGTCTCTTTTGCCCGAGGCTATCTTCAACTATGTTTTAATTGTTGAAGAGTATGTTTTTGCTCTTTCCGAGGGAAAAAGCCCAAAATTTGTGAAAGAGTCCGGAAAAATGCGCGAAACTATGCTAACGTTTTCTTTTTTCTTTTTTGCGTTCTAATATTTCATTTTTCATTCATGCCTTGTCGTGAAAGAACATGTGTGAAAGAGCAAAAACATACTCTTCCAATACTTAATATTTAGGAGACTCGAACTCAAAACAAAAAAACTTCAATTATTATGCACGTGTTTAATCTAAGATCTAAAATCAGTGAAGACAAAAATAAGGCTCTTTTTCTTTTTTCCCCTACCTGCAAAATTTTAAAAGAAAAATTTTTTTTTCACATTAATCGATATGAAAACTGACATTGGGACTAATTAGGCCGTGACCGAAACATTTGGTCTTTATACTTTGCCTTGTAAAACCCTCGTTACACTTCAGTTTTTTAGACCGCCTTCTACGCGGACTTCTGTCATTCGTCACACTACAAAAAATTAGTTTTTTCAGCTCAAATAATTCAGTTTAAAAAAATACACAAAACAATTGTGAAATTACTAACAGAGGAAAGCACTCATGACCAACAATTTTTCAGAAAAAAATTATCTTAGTTTTTTTACTGTTCAATTTTTAGGAAACCTACTTTAATGTGTACTAAGAGTTTTACAATAAAATCACGTCCGAATTAGTTTTCACTTTAGCCACTCCTCTCGTCGACCTTGTATTATAAAGGTCATGTAAATTGTGTTTATCTTCGAGTCAAAATTTCGAGCGACGTGCATTTTGAAGGACTTTGAGGGAACAATTTTATTTGATAGATAAAGCAGTTTTCTGCAATTTTCATTTTTTTTTCGTTGAGCGCTGGTCAGTTAATTACTGGTACTCGATTAAGGTGTCCCGTGCAAACATCCGATTTGCCCAACATCCGAGCATCGATGTGCTGATAACATCAGAAAAACAACTTAACTTGGGCAGAAAGCCGCCCTTTTTCGTTAAGTTTGGCAATGATCCGATTTCTACCGTTTGCTTAAACATGCTGCATTGGCTGAATTAAAAATGACTACTTCTTAACAAAGGGCAATGTTCTTTATAAAAATGGGAGCGTTCTATCGCCGCCAAGCGGTGATAAGCGCTTAGTACGCGCACCAGCTACCATAAACTATAAACAGAGAGTCAGCTCAATTGGAATAGGCTATTTGAACTATGTCCTGCGTTCGAGAGTCTTGTGTCAAATGATTACTTAGTTATCAGAAAAGTTTGGGTCTTTATACTATGCCCTCGATTATTAGTGGTACCTCTTTATAGTCTCCGTTTCCTTAGATCAAAACTGCAACACTCTATACAGGGTTTTTTTAAAAAAAAATTGTAAATCTCTCATCTCACAAATAATTAGGTTACTAGAGTGATTGTTACTGGTAGTAGGCATCAAAAATACTCCGAATTTTGATGATATAACTCCTTGAGGTAGTTTTATTTTTCTTCACGCGTGATTTCAAATTTTGATGCATTCT